CCTTTTTCAGTGCGAGTGTGATTACCATCTCTCTTGCATTTTTACTCTAGCATGCAGTCTATGGTCAATCAACAGAGCCGATCGAGGCAGTTCTGCCTACAAAAGTAATTTAGCAAAATAGCCTAATTGTTACCGTTGATGAGAGCGGTGGTGGTGGGGGGGGGGGGGAGGGAGGCTGTGCAATCAGAGCACTGAGTCACGTACATAGAGTCTACATTGTCTATAGATTCAATATAGGACTTATAATTATGATATACATGACTGACATTGATATACATAATAGGTCAGATACTAGTATTTCAACAATGTGATTGCTATCGCCATCATCTGAGCTATGAAATGACCAATTCATGTACTTGACCGGTTGACCACTAATTCCAAGGAGTTTATGCCTAGAGTTTATGTTCCGCCGTTCTTGGGTAGCTAGGTAAACAATGTACAGGTCGTTCTGAGAATCGCAACTTGAGCGGAGGGAGGCTAGCGGAGCGGATCGTGTTAGTGTGTGTTTGTATTGGGTTTTTACACACGTGTAGTGGTGTGTGCATATTAGCCTTCCTCGTCGCTGGAGAAGCAGGCTTCGGTCCCCGTTTCTTCCCTTCCATGTTTATATCGAAAAGTATTAGCAAAGCCAGTCGTTTAAAACCGTTAAAATGTCACTCTCTAAATAAATCGAGATAGTATAATTATGGCAAAAGTAGAACCAGAGTGCGAGCAACGACGATATAATCAATGAACAACAGCTGATGAACGCGAACGATAGGGAGGCAACAAAGTGTGTACTCTGAAATACCGTGGATCGATAATAATAATGTTGCTTGCCTGCGCATTTAGCGGCCACGAGAGGGAGGCAGAGCGGTAAATTTCAGAGCCTAAAACAATTCGAAATCTAACCGTCGGAACTCTCTCACCGGACCACGAGAGAGTTCTAATTTACCAAATATATCAATTAGTAGGCGGTTTCCCGGCAAATTTTTTATCATCATGTATTAGTCAAAACATATTCTTTCACATGATTGGTAATGAGAGCTTCCATTTCATTTTTTGAAATTGGGGCGTTACCAATACTGGTCTTTACCTTTAATATTGCACCTTAATTTCCCACTTCCAGATTTTAGGTTGATAAGAACTTGTTAGTTGAATGAAAGGGGGAAATTTCTTTGAGAGCAAAGTTACATTCATATGCTACTTCTAAGCGGAATGATAAGCGCACAATGTATACTTTTTCAATTTTTATAATTATTAAAAACAATTAAAAAACACATTTATATTGAGAAAACACTGAATGTTAATAATTTATTTTTCAAGCATCAAAATGTTATGTGTTATAAATACAAAAATGCATTATGAAGGGGCAGACATTTATAGTACTTACTTTCCTTAAAACACCATATACACTGTAATTTTTTTTTTTAATAAAAAGTTATCTCGTAAAAAATGACTATGCTGTAGCATTCCAAGGTAAAAATAGAAGAAATATATAAGATTCAAGTTAACTTTAGTGTTTGAGATGGAGATGTACAGTATATGTAGGGCTTCCTATCATTAGCAAAATTATATTTTCAATTTTAAGGCTTCAGTATCCAAAGCAGAGTCCTTGAGCTGAAGGATTTCATAAGTAGGCCTGTCCTCATCAGCTCGAGTTTGCCAAATAACCCGCTATTTTCAGATTAGGGATATTATCCCGAAGCTCGAAATTGCGTCTTCACCATACCGATACGCTCATCACAAACTAGCTCGAAAATTAGCTCCCTATTTCCTAAATAGCAGGATGTTTTGGAAACAAGACCAAGATTTCTCAGGATATTTTCTCAACTAACTATCCCATTAATTGCAACTGTGGGCTGATGAAGACGCAAATTAGCTGGATAATTTGCGATCGGGATAGTTATTAGCGGGTTATTTGGCAAACTCAAGCTGATGAGAATAGACCTACTGACTACCCTACACTGCCTGTGCAAAGTAAAAAAGATTATTCAGACGATGGAATTTAATCAGATGAAGGGCACTTCTTTGACTGATGATATACATGTGCATATATTTGTGCAATTTCCTGTATTTTCCAAGTATTTCCCAGCATTTCCTGGACTCATTATTTCCAAGTATTTCCTACATTAAGTTCCACCTTGGAATGAAATACAGGCATTTTGCAGGAAATTGCCAACCCTCTCTAAAACACATTCAGCCATGCCTCAATCATGCCAAAGTTACACATTAGGCAGTGTCACACAGAAAAATCCCTTTAAACATCCCTTGAAAAATCCTTTCAAGGGAGAATTTTCTTGCTTCGTTAGAGGATTTTTAATTGGATAATTGATGACAGACAGCAATTAAAAAGATAACTAAAATCCGGATAACTAAAATCTGGATTTTTGGCCTCTGTGTGACATTGCCTATTGTACGCAGAAAGACTTCAATTCAATTCAATTCAATTCAATTCAATTTCGGTTTATTAATATCAACATATACAATGTACAATGCAGTAGTCCAGGGACCAATAATGCAATGTTTACATAAAATGTGCATAAAAACAGGAATGATCATATAAATGTATAATAAAAATGATAAAAGATAAAGTTAAAATTATTGTTCATACCTAAAGTTATATACATATATAAAAAATGATAATAGATGGATGATAATAAATGTTGAACCAGTTATTGCAAGTACAAATAATCTTTAAATTAAACAATTATTAAAAAAAAAATTTAAAAAAAAAAATAAAAAAAAAAAAAAAAATATATATATATATATATATATATATATATATAGGGAGAGAGAGAGAGAGAGAGGAAATTATTATATTGCAATTGTTAACATGAGATCCATAGACTGAAAAAATATACATACGTACAGGTGTATCTGTTGTGTGACAGGTAAGGTCAAATTATGTTGAGTAGAATTATTACATTAAGAATATATCATTAAAGCATTTCATATAAAGTGATGTATAGTGCCCATGAGCATACATAAATTCTCATAACTGTTGAGTTTCCACATTCAATTTTAAATTGGAGTGAGTTACAATTATGTTATTGCAGCAGAATTATACTTAACATGAGCTACATGTACATGTACGTGTACTCATTCCTGTACACCATCATCTGTCCGGATTTCAATTTCTAGAGTCTGTGTGCATGAGGCCTACATTATGATTACCAATGTAAACATTTTGATAATTTGGGATCCAAACTCAGGAATGATCATTTGGGTGCCCAAGAGTCCCAGATGAATGTTAAGGCGGTGTCACACAGAAAAATCCTGACCCATCTTGAATAAACCAGGTTTTAGAAATCTAGTTTTTTCATTTACGTCAGTGACAGACAGGCTACAAGTAATCCGGTTAACTAAAACCCGGATTTTTGATTGGCCAATGCGTTCGCGGCGTTTAAGTAGATAAGCACTGTGACATCACATGTTCAATCAATAGTAACGCGCAATTAACGCATCTCGTTAAATGCGCGCTTATATAATTGTGCGCAGGTTATGATAGCACGTTAAAAACCATATGCCAGCCAATCACGTTGACATTACACTGACCTCAAAGGGGATCATTTCATCATTAAAAAATCCCTTGAAAAATCCTTTCAAGGGAGCATTATCTTGCTTCGTTAAAAGGATTTTTGAAGGGATTTTTGAAGGGGTTTTTGAAGGAATAATTGATGACAGACAGCCAATTAAGAGGCTTACCAAAACTCTGGATAACAAATATCCTGATTTTTGGCCTCTGTGTGACACCGCCTATAGTGTCGAGACCTGCGTACATGTATATAGCTTATTTATGCCTTGGCTTTATCAACGATTTATCGAAATGATAAAAGTTTGAAAATATGCTTTTGTATTTTATGAATATATGGGTGCTTCTATACAGGAGGCACCTATTGTACACCTTCGATAGTGCATGCACAACCTTTTTTGCACTTGGTCACTGTAGATGCATAAACATATCTGCATAAACATATCTGCATGTAGGTCTAATCTTTTGAAGGGTAGTGGACATGTAGGTTATCTGTGTATTTGCATTTAGAGAAGTATCGGTGAGTGTAGTTGTACGGTGTGTATTATAATTAGTCTGTAATTATGTAGAATATTCTAGATGGGTGTTGTGTTTGTTCTTAATTATACTTATTACTTTATCCAATTAATTAATTGTATAAAAATTAGAATCTCCTAGAACTCCTTCTCTACATAACTTACACAGAGCTGCTAACCATTCCGTTTTTGCCGGAATTACTCCGTTTTTTCCTCCAAATTACGGTAATACGTTTTTTCTTTATAAAATATGTTTTTTAATAACTTTTTTTTTTTTTTTTTTTTTTACATACCGCACGTCAAACAACTGCCCTAAAATGGTGATTTTGATCACAAATTCAATAGAAAACTAATTTCAAAACATACTTGAAGAGAAAAATATTCTCAAAAAAAATGAAATGCCTATAATACCAAAATAACCACCAAAAAAAATTACCTGCTTGTATGGAAAAAACAGCATGATGAATGAACATTTCTGCATTGGAAGTGTGTCGCGTGTGGTTGTAAGTTTCGTTTTTATGAATTCCTTTTTTTTGCTTGAAATTCCTTTTTTGGTCGCACAAGGTTGGCAGCTCTGCTTACATGTAGGAGCAGCTCACATAGATTGCATAGTACATTGTACATGTACAATAAGGGTGCTTATATTGCGGAATTATAGAGCCATGTACAGTTCCAGGGTAATGTCCGAGCCTCCGAGGTACATGTATGCGGTCAGCTCTCTGTCCTCACCTGCAAACTGATTCAGTGGACTCCGGTTCAAGACTGAGTTGCTTCTTTTGGATGGTGACGTTAAAGGCCCGGTGCCCGGATTTAAATAATTATGTCTGATTTATACACGCCTGTAAAACCCAAGTTACACACACACACACACACACATACACCTTCTTTAGTGGATCCTGCAATACGATTAAAGCGTAATGAATTATGAAAAAACCAACAACATCGACTTGATTTTGTTTTCTCAACAATAGATCCAGCTTTGCCAGACATGCAGCTAGTACAGTCCCCCGCAGCCCCGACCCCAGGCCCAGCCTCAAGGCTCCAAGAGCCCGCTACCAACAGGGTCATAGTCGCTCGGACTATCAGCAAGCCCTTACCATCCAGTTCCACTCCGTCCTCATCGACATCGCCATCGACCTCATCCTCGGCCTCGTCCTCGGCCTCGTGGCGGTCTGGCAACAGCCCTGCCTTCTCTCTCATGGCCACCGATCCAGGGGCGCCCAAGGCAGACCATGTGGTCTCCTCCACCGGGATCCTGTGCGCCGTGTGCGGGGATCAAGCCACGGGACGTTATTTTGGGGCCCAAATCTGTGAGGCATGCAAGGTTTGTGGTCTACTTAGTTTGTTTTTCTTCTTTTCTTCACATGTGATATATTCTGAATGTATTTGGCTCTTGTATGTGAATTATGTGTTAAGTTGATTGCAAATTGACAAATTCATAACTTTCTTATTTTTAATTGGATATTGCTCAAACTTTCACTGACCTGTTCCTCTCATTTTTCTGATTCTAAAAGTGAAACCAACTTAATATAAGGGTAGCCTTCCCCTTTAATATACTGTAGTCTCTAATAGCCTATTAACTGTATGAATAATTGATGAAATTTGGCTTGTGGTCATTCGTCAATGTTACCAGAAAGAAACATGATTATAGTCAGTGGTAAAATTACTTTTCGTGAAGCACATTGGAAGTGCCAAAATTTATGTTGTATTATTATGCAGCATTGCAGCATCACATTACATTTTCTCTCCCAAGTTAATTAAGAATCAATATGGTTATTATTTGTTTCGAGAAAAAAAAAGAGAGACATGCTTTACAATAGTTGAATTACAATACCTGATTTGTACTTGTATGGCATCGTATAAGGAATTGAAGGGGGAAAAAAAAAACCTTATGTTCTGTTGTATGCTTCAGGTCTGCCCTTAATGAATCAGTTTTATATGGTTTCATGCATGGATTTTGGATGTGGTCAAGACTAAAGAATTTTTTTTTGAAATTCTTTCTGCTGAGCGTCAGAAAGGTTTTTGTATGTACTTGTATGAGTTGATACCCTTCTGGCTCCAGACAGACGACATATTATTCATTTTTTCCCCCTTTTTTTTCTCCATTTTTTGGACCCTCCAACAGGCCATTTATTGAAAATCAATCTCAAGATAACATATTTGAACGCATGTTCCAATGAATATCGTATAATATTTCATAATAAGATATACATAATGAATATCAACCATAATACTGTATATACAGAACATACATGTAGATTAGGGAAAGAAAAACAAAAATTAAATAATAATGCAACATCATGACTGAAAAGGATGTGGAAAATTCAATATACTCCTATTAAAGGATCAAAATCCTCTCAAAATTTATCCATTTTATATCGAATTTGTCAGTTTTGTTAGCAAATATACTAACTTGTCTCTCATTTGTGTAACTATTCTTGATATATTGTTTTATTGTCCGAAAGGACGGTACAGACTTTTGTATTCGAGAAAAATATAATTGTTGTTTAGTCCAAATTATTATACAGTTTAAAGCATCATTTCTTTTTTCAATGAAACCTAACAAAACATGTATTAAGGACAGTTTTATTCTACAGCGTGTTACAATAGTTAACCAGTCAGTCGAACAACTCCAAATCAATTTGGTCACGTCACAGGAGTAAAAAAAGTGTACCATATCTTCTTCTTCTCTTCCACAAAGGGAACAGTTCTTATTTAAAATTATGTTAATTTTCACAAGATCTTTATTCAAATATAGTATCTTATTCAAAAGTCTGTACTGAAAGTACCGAACTGTTGTATGCATTGTACAGCGAAACATAACCCTGAAATAATATTGCATATATTTATGTATAGTTTGAGGATTATATAATATTGTTTTAATTTCATTTCATTCATTTATTTCGACATCAGGATAAAAACTATATAATGAGGAATCTGCAGTGGATGGACCACGAAAAGCACACTCTTGGCTTGTTAAAAATGTTCCTCACCAAATATACAAAATAAAAATAATTTACAAAACGTTGAAACATTGATGTTGAAATAAATAATAGAAATGAAATGATACAGACAAGGAACCCATCAAAGTAACCTGGAAAATTTAAAATATGATATCAATCGTACAAGATTTCAAGATTCAAGATTTCAAATTTATTCATGTTTCCAACAAGACATTACAAATCAATTATAAGCATCTAAAACAAATTTAAGAAGTACATGTTGAAAACAGAGGGGTCCACTAAAAAGCAATGCTTGTACAAGTGTGAACACCTCAAATGAAACTTAGGAATAATGAGTAATTAAATTAACTAATCTGTAACTACAAAAGGAACTACAAAATAGGGGAAAGAAAAAGGGGAATGCCAATAGAGACGAGAAAGGGACAAGACAATACTTTACACGGCAAAGATAGAAGAACACGGTCATAATACAAAGAGTAGACAATGACAAAAAGAAGTGAGAGATCGAGGGTACAGAAAATAATAATAAAGGGTTGTGATGAGAGATTATGTGAGGTAAAGTTCAAAACTGCTGTGAACGTGTAAACAAATTCAAATTTGAGGCATGCATGGTGCTTTCATTTGCACAATACATTCATCCATGCCTGTCATGTCCTTTCATGTATTAAGTCATGTTATCAAAATCATTCTTTTGTCACTTGAAAAAAGTGCTCAAACCCTGTACGTACACATACAATTACGTGTGAACAACCAGTCATAAAGGTCATGCTCCGTTTGCCATTTAAGGCGGCATGATTGATTCCCCTTTTCAGTCACCTCTCAGATAAAGGCTTATTTAATGTAAGGACTTGCGTGTCCATGAAACGAGATATGGATTGTATCTGATAAAAGAGGATAGTTTTATAAGAAAATTAATTGATTTTCAAGAACCACATCAAACTGTATGTGATAGAGCTTGGTCTGCGTTTTAGGTGTACATGTATTTATGAAGTTATATAAAGACAGCAGTACGTGATACATTCATGCTTGTTTCTTTATTTTGTTCTGTATATATCTGAACAAATATAAACAAAATAGAAAGATTACTTGATGCATTGTGCATCTATATACAAAACATTTGTACTGATAAGAGCTACATGTATAACCATCTGTATTTTCAAGCTTTTATGTTTGAGTAGCCTCAGTAGAGCGAATAATCCAGTATGTTAGAAGTTGAAAGTTTAAAGTCTAAAATACAGATTTGAATAAAAGACATGTCATTTTGATATTTAATCATGACATAGCAGGCCGGGGGAATACAAACATCATCACAATTTAGAAAAGCAGAACAAAAATGGAAACTATAAAATGAGTACATAATAATAATAATAATAATAATAATAATAATAATAATAATAGCCTAATAGTCCACTCCAAATTTTATTAAACCGAAACAGAAATTCTTTTTGCCCAATTGATCGTGAGCCCGGCAGCCACTGAGCAGCGCCAGATCGACGTTGCTCTATCCCTTATTGTTGAACGCCAAACAAGGTAGCAACAACTCCCATCTTTTAACGTCTTTTGGTATGACGCGGCCGGGGTTCGAACCCACGACCTCCCGGTTGTGTGGCGGACGCTCTGCTGACTGAGCCAACACTCCGGTACATGTACATGTATACAAGAATGTGGAAGCAAAAGAAGTTAATCCAAAACTCAAAAGATTCCATGAACATTGATCTGGAACTCTATTTTGTAAATTTCTAATTGTCAGGTTCATTTCTTCTTGTTCTTGATGATTTCAGAGCTTCTTCATCAGAAGCACGAGGAAAGGAGAGCCTACCTTCCGATGCGTCAACAACCAGAGCTGCCCCATCACCCCCTACTCTAGGTTGCTCTGTCAGTTCTGCCGCTACCAGAACTGCATGAAGGCCGGAATGGGCCGCAAAGGTAAGCTGCCAATCTGATGAATGAAATTGGAACAAATTTGAAAAAGGGTCAACATTTAATTTGAAATTTACTTAAAATGGAGAAACTATGGGCTTGTAAGTTGATAAATTACACATGAGGCACATCCACTTTATTTCATTTATGTTGTAAAAATGATTTAATTGTTTAAAAATGCATCTTTATAACAAAATAAAAAAGAGGGGGAAAAAAGAAAAGATGTGTAATTGCTGTCTTGCTTCCTTTCAGTAAAGATAGGACAGTTTTAAAGTTCAGCATTTTTCAACTTCCAGGACAGATGACCCATGAATATGCACCTGTTCTTTCAGGTTTAGGCCATGGATAATAATAATGATTTGTCCATTAGTATTATTTGGGTTAATGCAATTACATTTTATACGTTAAAAAGTCTGAAATGAAACAAAATAACTCTTTTCAATTACTTCCAGGACAAGGTCAGAGACAGATGACCCATGAATTCGGTCATTGCCCCCCCCCCTCCATTTTTTTTACAATTATCTCTTTATTACAAGATATATAGCATATCTACTCGTTGTTGACAGTTTCTTTTAATACAAGTGACCCCTACGCAGAACAGTTACTTTAGGACCTCACATAACGGTTAGTTTAGATCGCTGATGACTGTACAGTGTGTATGACAATGCCACCTGTTCTTTCACTTTTGGCCATGGATAACAACAATAATTTGTGTATTAGAATTATGTGGGTTAATGCAATTACATACTTTAAAAAGTCAGAAAAAATGGAACAAAATGGCTCTTTTTTTTCTTGTCCAGAACTGATGTTCATGTTCATTTCAGTGAAGGAAAATCCCATTGTGTTTTTAAGTTGATTTGATTCGAGAGCTGAATTTAATGAGAACATTTGGAATAAATCGTCATCAAACATCAGACAAATTTCAAAGTTTTGACATTATTTTGTACCAGGCTCTGTTAGAAGAACAATCAGCAACTCAGTCATCTGATTGTAGTGTCATTTTTTTTTTTAACTCTCAGCCCTTTCATTTGTTTCTCTGTTTCAATTATCAAATGATTTTGTCCATTATCTTATATATTATTATTGCAATAGGCCATTTCAAAACTTGAGTTGGAAGATTTTTTCCCCCTGTAATTTTTAATGTATTGCAGACGGAATATGAAAGGAGCAATAATTTATTTGCTTAAAAGTGGAAATATTGAGAAAGTTTGAGGAAAATAGTCAGACAGGTGATCTAAAGTTGAAAGTTTGATCATTAATATAGAGCTCTGGGCAACTCAGTGGTCTGACTGTAGTATCAAAAAAAAATTCTTTCTTATTCACCTTTTCATTTATTTTTCTATTTTAATGCTCAGATGATTCTCTCCATTGTCTTTTACCCTGTTATTGCCACAGGCTGTCTTGAAAATGTTGAAGTGGGAAGAAAATCAATCTATTGGGGAATGTGAAAGGAGCAATAAATACTGAGCAAACTAAAGAGAGTAATTTCGTTATTCAATCAAAAGTACTACTTCTTTTTGTTGGTATTGTCGATAAAGTACTTGTTGATATATTTTTTTTTTAAATAGAATCTGAATTATTTATTAATTTTCTCACAATATAAGGACATGAAAATTGAGATATTTTTTAGAAAATAATGAAGTTAAACTTTAGAATTGGAAGAAAAAAAATCTTATGTTAATATTTTGATAGGAATACTACGTATATTTTGATATTAAAAGTATCTACATATATGTCATCATAGTTGAGGTGTAATTTCAAAGGAATTCCACACCTTTTTACTTGATTAAGCTCTAGTAGGGCTATTCATCCTAATACAATGAACAGATGTACTATTAAATGTATAGGACAAAATTAGGCCTGAGTTGTTTTGGTTCATAAACCACGCCCTGACCGTGAGCATCAGAGCGCGGATCTAATTTCTCTCGTCCGCTGCACCGATCTTTGCATATGAGCCAAGAGTATAACTTTTTAATTCCTTCAGTCACATTTGTCATACCACATGTAGAAATTTATTGGGGCCTGACCACTTTTCAGTGACCGCCCCCCGTTTTAAAGCAGGACTGCACTACCTGTAGCTACTTGCGCCCTCTATATAGCCAACAATGTCTAAGCGGTACCCGTTGATCCCCCATTGTCCCTTTTTTGTAATGTTCATTGAGAGCTGATTTGGTGAGAAAACCACATGCCAGCAATCACGCTGGGAGGTCTAATCCCTCCTGGCCAAACTAGTGCAGATAGGCTTTAAAGGAAAAATCATGATGACATGGGCCTAGACAATGTAACTTGACTTTGCCCCAAATTAACAAAAAAACAGTCAATCAAAGATGGTTGTATGAACATGAGTACATGCATGCATGGCCTCTTTTATATTTCATTCTTTTCATGTTTCATGTTTCTGTTACAGCCAAACAGCCCAGTAAAGATTTAGCCAAGGACCAAGTGCCATGTAAAGTGTGTGGGGATGTTTCGTCGGGTATTCATTTTGGAGTGTATACGTGTGAAGGATGTAAGGTAAGTTTAATAACCCTTGTCAGCTTCGTCCACACTTACCTGCCTTGGACAGCCGTCAAGGCAAAACAAGTATAATGCATGTCTAATAGCAGGCACAATGGATGTGCTCTTTGGGCATTAGTCCTCATTACCAAGTCCCTCAGAGAGGACTTAAAGCGCCACTGCACTACTTATAGCTACTTGCGCCCTCTATACTGCAAACAATTCCTAAGTGGTGAACGTTGGTCCCCTTTTTCTTACGTTAATTGAGAGCTGATTTGATGAGATACCACCTGTCAGTGACCATGCAGGAAGGTCTAATCCCTCCTGGCAAAACTAGTGCAGATAGGCTTTAAAGTCATTGGTCCCCTGGTTGCTTACTTAATACAAGCATACACATAGTTTCTTAGCAGTCAGGTAAAACAAACAAACAAACATACAAACAATTCTGTATCTCTTAGCGTACAGATAATACCTCAGTCACAACGCCATAGCAGCTGTATTTTTAAATTTTTTTATTTGGCCTTCAAACAAAATTTATACTAATATGCTGTGCACTGTGAGACCATTTGAGATTGGCTTTCCTTCCAATTGTTTTTTTGTTATAATAACTTTGTTACTATTGAAGTTTTTGTTTTTCTGCAATCATTCTAGGGCTTCTTTAGGAGGAGTCTTCGCGACAGGAACACCTACAGCTGTTCAGGGAAGGAGGAGTGCATCATAACGCCTGTCACACGTAACCATTGTCGCTACTGCCGCTTCAAGAAGTGCCTCAGGGTCGGCATGTCAAGGGCCTGTAAGTTGAATGCCTTTGTCTTAAAGCTCCACTGTACAACTTGTAGCTACTTGCTCCCTCTATATAGAAAGCAATGCCTAAGCGGTGACCGTTGGTCCCCCATGATCCTCTTTTTCTTTTGTTAATTGAGAGCTGAGTGGATGAGATAGCCACCTGTCAGTAACCACCCTGGGTGGTCTAATCCCTCCTGGCCAAACTAGTACAAAAGAGCATTAAACAACTGTCCACCCTGCCTTTAATTTAACAAGTTGCAACCCCTTTACATGTAACCTTAGCTGCAACTGCCACTTGAAGAAATGCCTGAGATATGTTGCATGCCAAGGAATTTTAGTCAAATTCTTTGTCCAAAGCAACAAGTTCTTTTGCCCCATTGCAGTCCTTAGTGCATACAAGGCTGTCTGCAAAAACAGCCTTTTCTTTCAAGCAGCCGCTTGGCTTAAATTTTTGATGTAACAAATGAAGTGAAATATTTATTGGGTTACTCTTCCAGTAAAAATATTTTACACCATTGAGTGCTCTTGGCAAAAAAATGTTCTAAGAGGGATACAAGACTTTTTATGTGAAGAGCACAATGCAATGTTTTTTCTTGTAAATATAAATGAACTACATGAAAATGAGATATATATATATGCTTGAACAAAGCATTGTACTCCTTTTTTGTTGGTCATTGTATTTGTAAATGAGAAATATTTGTTAAATGTAATGCTTTTAATTGCTAAATTATTTATTATCCCTTGTTTCTGTGACTGTTTTGTTTTTCCAGGTATCAAGTTGGGAAGACACCAGAAGTATACTACGCATCTCGTTGAAGATGGGAGCAACTCTATAAACACAGCAGCTCATCCATCTTTGTGGACAAATGGAGGGAGGCAATCAACTCCTGAAGCTGAACCCGGTGAACAAAGTACATTCTGTAAAGAGGACAGTGATAAGGTCCCTCCAAGGGGTGTTGATTATCAGACAGAGCAGGACCATGAGAACAGAGTCCGGAAGGTCTTCAAGCAGGAAGGTGGTTCCAGTGCTGCCCCAGCTCTGAGGGAGATGCTCAAGAGGTCATCCTTACCGGACCAAAGGAGAGAACCTAGTCCATCCCATAGCAAGGTTATCCCCAATCAATCTCTAGAACAGCTAAGCGCGTTGCCGAGCAACTATTGTTTCCAGTACACCCTGCAGAACTCAGCTTCACCTGCCACATTAATCGACCCTCCAGAAGCTTCCGTTGCACCCTCAAGGTGCGAAAGCAATCATCATGCTAAGGAGTCCGCTTCAAGCAGTCCAAACAATGTTTCCTTGGGCCAATCTCTGCCCCAATCGCTCAATGTAACAAACAATGTCTGGGAAAGTCAGAATTTACATGAAAATACAGGTATTCCGTCACAGGGTGAGAGAGACACACCTTCAACCGCCAGTTCCAAGACAAATTCATTTGGACACTCTCCATCAGGGGACATAGTGCTTATCAAGAAGGAAGCATTAGATACCTGTGTATATGCTCCCTGCCATGCAAACATCGATAGTCTAAACTGTTCCCCTTTAAGAGAAGATGTGCCTATTAGTATCAACGATGAAGAAGTAGTTGTCATGGATACTGCCAGTAGGGCTAGGATTGACAGCTTTGTCAACAATCTCATTCCTGCATCCGCTGATTCGCCTGAACCCGATGTAGTGGAGGTGTTTAGTAATGTAGTGAAGAGAAAAAGCCCAGAAAACAATGGCTGTATCCTTCAGGAAACTCAAATGACATCTTTGGGAAATGATACAAGAGACGATTTCCAAACAACTGTGTGCATGAGTCCTGCAGAATCTGAGGTGTGTATAGTATCTGGTATCTCTCCCAGCCATAGTCCTAGTGCATCTTGGTATCCAGCTGCCGAGACCCAGACAGCAAGTACCGCGATCCCTGGTTCCTCTAATGCACCTCCTGCAGCATTGCCAACTCTTCCATTTGACCAGTACGAACAACAACAACCAGACGAATCATCAGACATATCCGAAGCAGTCCCCACTATGTCGCAAGTACTTGTCACATCCGCTCCGGGCACTTCATCAAAACGTGCTTTGGAGGACGTTGACTATTCTCTTGCAGAGGCCAATTCACCCCAGTCCATCCTTTCCCAAAGTTCACCTTTATCTGTTGGACATTCTCCCAGCTCCGTTATTGAGAGTCACTGGAAGGAACAAGCCCAGAACAGCCAGGCTCTGCTGCCTTGCGACAGGCTCTACACCTCTCTGTACCCTGGTTATGTGTCTCCCAATGTGTCCGCCAATGTTGCCCGTAATGTGGCCTTGATCTGCCACAACCTCCTGCAAAAGGTGAAGAATGGCCTTCTGACCGACCGAGTGTTGTCCAGTCAGAGCGAGATGGACCTGATGAAGCACACCAGTGATCTTGGAGCCCTGGAGAGAGACAGCATCCTGTTTGATCTGACACGTAGCATGACTGGATACTCTGCCGTTATGAGGTCACTGCTTCTCAATGAAAGCTTGCAAGAAGCTTCAGAATATGTAAGCTTTTTTTCTTCATTTCAACTGCTTCTTTAAGAATTTTATTAAAATTGAACCTGTTGTAAAGATTCTCATTTAATAATTTTCCGCCTTTACTTGTATCTATGAGCTATTCATTATGGACCAAGCACAATAGTATACAATGGTTAAAACTATGAACCTAGGTGATCTTGTACATAGTATAGTTTCAATTGACCGGACGACAGATGGTAGTCTAGACTATGGAAAGCCTGCCCTCAGATGTGAGGATGGGAGAAGATCGAACGAGGCATTATTTTAACTATTGCCTGTTAATTGTGATTTAAAATTCGAAAGCCAATCAGAGGCCTAAAGTTATCATATGCAGTATATATACTTTCAATCATTTCCTTGTAAAACAGTTATTTTCATCATCTCAAGTCATCATTTCATTTCTTTATTCAGTTATCACAGCACAGGGACTACAATAACGGCGTTCACTGGGACAAATTCCATGAGACTATCAGTATGAAGATCATAGCGAGCGTTCAGTATATTAAGAAGATACCAGGTAAATACATACCTCTGGCAGACCTGCCAACCAGTACGATTTAGTTGTATTAAGTACGATTTTTAGAAGCAAATACGACAGTACGATTTTCCTCAATAAAATATGATTTAAATTTTTTTTTTTTTTTAATTTTTTTTCATTTAAATTTTAAATTGTATGCTGTGCAAAATGCCCATTCTGTCCTGTAAAGTATCCTACAAGCATCTCACTCCGGAAATTTGGGGATGTTCATTGGTTCATCGAACACGCTAGTCATGATGAAATCATGCATATTCAACCAATGATCCATAAAAATTTTCTCCCTGTACGTAAGAACTGTAAAAAGCATTGTTCCGCGTAACATTTTTTATATTTTTTTAAGAATACAACTTTTGTCAGTAAAATACAACTTTTGGGAATAAAGAATACAGTTTTTGAACTCCAGAGGTTGGCAGGTCTGCTCTGGAGACTTGCTGACATTGATTTGGGGTCAATTCCAAGTGATACGGAATGACATTTCCAGAGAATTTTCTACTTTACAATCAAGAATATCACAGACATTTTGATAAAAATGAAAATATTAATGGTATGATATGTTAAATGTTTCATGTATTTAATGTGTGGCAGATATTAAATGGGGCTTTAAACTTTTAACTAAAAAGTCAGGGTGGACAGGAGACAAAATCATCAAAACCAACACGATTATCGTTGCTATTATCGCAGGTTTTCCGTCGATCCACATGAACGACCGCCTGTACCTGATCAAGCACAGCGTGTTCCCCATCATCCTGGTGCACAAGGCGTGGAAGATGGGCCAGGAGTGGAAGTGGATGGAGGACACCTTCTACACCAACATCTTCCTGCGCAGGATCGCAGACGGCTTCCGGGACATGACGTACTCCTTCGTCAACCAGTTCAACCTGGCTAGCTTTGATAGCATCGAGGTGGCGCTGCTCATGATCCTGGTGGTTCTCAATCCAGGTGAGTTTCTGCTTTGTCGAATGGGGACAATGATGGCAACAGTGGCATCATAAGTCTTTTTAAAGAAGGTGTAGCATGGCAAATACCGGTTAACGCCATCTACAACTTCTTTTGGACAACTGCACGTAAACGAACGGACTTGATTATAATGCTCAGCGCGCGCTAGCGTTCACAAAACAGACCGAAGTTCTCCTCACGCTTCGGTTTCACATATGTTGCATGCACGTGAATACTGTGGTCGCGTTGTGCGGAGTTGTATTATATCAAATTAGCCCCAAGTCAGGCCACTCGAAAGACACATAGTCTTGTCATGCTACACTCCCTTTACATCATTACTTTTTTTAAATTATTGAACACACAAATTTGTTCATGTACTACATAAATAAACTTTTCTAATTATTTCTAATTAAATTTGCTGGTAATATATTACAAGTTTTGTTTTGCCAGATATATGTGGAAAAAGAGAAAATAAAACACTTGAACTGCTTGAAGATCTTTTTATGCCTCCGTTACGAAGTAGCCGGAGGCATTATGTTTTCGGGTTGTCCGTTCGTCCGTACGTCCGTCCGTACGTACGTCCGTCCGTACGTCCGTACGTCCCGTTCTCGTGATCGCGTTATCTGAAGAACCGATTGCTGGATTCCTGCCAAACTTTGGTCATGTATGTATCTTGCAGAGCCGATGAACTGATTAGATTTTGGGGTCACGAGGTCAAAGGTCAAAGGTCACAGGGCTCATTATGTATGCAAAAACAGCTCGTGATCGCATTATCTGAAGAACCGATCGATGGATCCCTGCCAAACTTTAGTCATGTATTTATTTTGCAGAGCCGATGAACTGATTAGATTTTGGGGTCACGAGGTCAAAGGTCAAAGGTCACAGGGCTCATTATGTAAGCATAAACGGCTCGTGATCGCGTTATCTGAAGAACAGATTGATGGATTCCTGCCAAACTTTGGTCATGTATTTATCTTGCAGAGCCAAAGAACTGATTAGAGTTTGGGGTCACGAGGTCAAAGGTCAAAGGTCACAGGGCTCATTATATATGCAAAAACAGCTCGTGATCACGTTATCTCAAGAACAGATTGATGGATTCCTGCCAAACTTTGGTCATGTATGTTACTTGCAGAGCCGATGAACTGATTAGATTTTGGGGTCATGAGGTCAAAGGTCACGTGGCTCATTATGTATGCAAAAATGGCTTGTGATCGCATTATCATTAGAACAGATTGATGGATTCCTGCCAAACTTAGATCATGTATGTATCTTGCAGAGCCAATGAACCGAGTAGATTCTTGGGTCATGAGGTCAAAGGTCATGGCTCATTATGTATGCAAAAATAGCTTGTAATTACGATATTTTGAGAACCTGTTAATGGATTACAAATGAACTTGAATTTGAAAAATTTCTTCTGTTTTGGTTGGTAAAATTGCTCTATGACGGAGGCATCATTTTCGACTGCGCGCAGTCGAATTCCATCTAGTTTTTAATAACAAAATTGGATTAAAAATATTTGCCCCTACTGCTTAGAATAGTGCTAGAGCCATGAGATTATTGTCACAGATTGTACGAGTACATGTTAGCAATTTTCTATTCCCGCTACCGCAACTACGTTATTTGGCCATAGAGGGTAGTACCAGCCATGGGTATATTTGACAAAGGCACTTCAAGTACCCATACAATGGTTCAAGATTTGGAAATGCTGATAAAAAAAGAAAAGAAAAGCATTCCATACCGTTACATTTTAGAGTGCTGAGTGTAGACAATTAATGAGAATATTTAAGGCCTGGAATTTGAACCTCCATAATGATATCTGATTTCTGTTTTCTCTTTCACAGATTTGGAAGGCTTAGAGAACAGGCAGGCTGTTCTCAAACTTCACAAGGACTATCGCACAATTTTCCAAAAATACTGCCATGGTATGTATTAAGGATGGTAGTGGAGATTCAATTTGGTTTGCAAATCATTATCGTTGTGGTCTAGTAGATAACTCTCTGGACTGTGAACCACAAGGTACAGGGTTTCGTGGTACTAATGTCCTTTGGCAAGACATTGATCTACGATTGCCACACTCCACCCAGGTGAAGTAAATGGGGACCGGTAGGAAGGAATTTCTTGAATGCTGTGAGCACCGAAATCGGTAGCCTAGCAGAGCCGGGGTAATATTCGAGTGCTATGAGCACCTTGCTGGGTGGATATGTGCGCTATTTAAATATCCAATATTATTATTATTTCGAATCCCATCGGCAATAATGTCCTTTGGAAAGACATTTATCTTTAATAATAATAATAATAATAATCTTTTAAAATTTGTTCAGTCTGTGTTGTAAACAATATCCTCTCCTTTTTCCAAACTTGTCTTGTAGCTTTCTGTGTAAGGTAACATTTATACCCTTAGGTGTCAGTATTGGTATTGCAACGAAGGAAATTGAATTAGACATTTCAATCTTATCAAATATATCAATGTATTATTGCGCTTTAGTTTAATTGTATATAGTATTGTTTAGAGAGTTCTTAAAAGATAATTTTCCCAAAGTAATCGCTGACATTATGGCTTGCATGGGAAGTTACAATTTGATGTGTTACAATATGTATATAATTTATTTTTGCACATGTACATCATATATGATATGTAGCAGAGTTAAAAAAAAACATTTATAATGTCGATTTGATCGGCCCAGAACTCTTTCATCTCTATCTTCATTAAAGGGATCCGGTAACTTTGTCTCAGATTCTGAAACAAAATTCTGGATTTAGCTCATGATGCAATGATAATTATAAACCTTTAGGTCAGTCAGGAACCCCATGACTTTTACAAGCCGATCGCCTGTCTGATTATCAAGATATTTATGATTGGAATTACAAATTTTGAAAACCGTTCGCCTGACGGTTTTCATAACACTACAGTCTATTGGGGAAAACGAGTATGGTAAAACCGGTCACTCAAAGATTTTTACTTTTTTGAGGCACTTCTTGACCATTTTGAAGCGCAATTTTTTTAGGGCTTCAATATTACACCATATTAAAGACACTGATAACACGTAGGGCCGTGTATCTCAGATTTAACATTGTTAAACGATCCCTTTAAGGGGATTCACAAATATGGCTAAATGGGGATGGAGTACAAATAATTGTTATGTGTTTTTGTCTTTTTCTCCGCTCCTTCATTCCTACAGAGACGCATGGCAAGTTGGACAACTACTTGATCATGTTGCAGTTTGTGCCTTACCTCGCCAAAATCGACCTCGTCCACAAGCGATGTATACGTCAGTGTGAACAGCAGTCCGTCGTTTCCATGCCGGCTCTCTTTGCCGAAATCAACCTGTCGTAATACAGTCAAACCTGGTTTAGGGATCACCCATCTCCAAAGACCACCTTTTTTGTTTCCCTTGAAAATGGTTTCTCATTGAATCATGTACTAAAAGAACCTGTCTACAAAGACCACTTTTCTTGTCTCCCTTGGGTGGACTTTATAGACAGGTTTCACTGTTGGGAATTGAGTTGTTCAGGAAACAAGGCGATGGCAAAGATCATTGTAGACATCATTGTGAACAACAGTCCAAGATCTTCATGCCCGTCAGAGTTGCAGAAATAACTTTCATGTTGTAGTTTAAGGGAGAAGGTCGAGTTCTGGGAGAGGTTTTTAACAAAATAGATTTGTAAACTTTTCATTTTTTTAACGCTAGTGCGGAAAAGTAACGTAGAAAAAATGTCCCCTGAAAAGGATGGCAGGTAACGGCTAAAGGTTGTGGACCACAAGTTTCATTCCGCATGTTTGTGTAGTCCCATATACACATTTCTGTGTACATTGCATATGACCCTCAGCAAAACCGAGCAAATTACTTATGATTTTGAGGATTCCACAACCTAACGGCATACTCTAAATGCTTATCTGCTACATGATTAGCCTTTTCCAATCGCTTCAACACTTTTTTTTGTCACAATGCAATCACATAACTGGAAGCTGATGCGGAAAATCGGATTACGGTACAACAAACACTTTGGCCACCCAATGTGTGCATGCAACTCTCTCTTTGCCCATGCAACTCTCTCTTTGCCCAGATGAGCTTATTATCCCAGTTGGAAAACAGCCTGATATAAAAACTGAGCGCGAGCAAATTAATATCATTGCATTTGCTATTTTGAATACTGGTAGTTGACCATCTCTTTGCATTCTGACTTTGCAGAAGTAAAATATCACAGTGTAGTTAGGCTTTGAGCTGATAGGGAAATCAGGTGACAACATGCCGTTTTGTTTTAAAGCCTGTCTGCACTACTTGTAGCTAGTTGCGCCCTCTATATAGCAAAAAATGCCTAAGCGGTACCCGTTGGTCCCCCATAATCCCCCTTTTCTTACCGGTACGTTAATTGAGAGCTGATTTGATGAGATAACCACCTGTCAGTAACCACGACAGGGAGGTCTAATCCCTCCTGGCCAAACTAGTGCTGATAGGCTTTAATGTTTACCATGTGAATTAATGAATCCCAATTATTTTGTGTACGTGTGTGTGTGTGTGAAATCTAAAAGAAACAATTATATCACCTTAATTGACCTAAGTGTACTATGACAACTCCAGGGAAACATGCACAATGTGTTTGTGCCTTCTGATTACCTCATATTGTTTAATTATTTTGTATTATAGATTATAGATTTGTGGATCCTGATGATGTGATTGGCTTAGAGCTGGTCTCATGGTATGCTTTATGTTTGCTTTGAAACAAAATTGAGAAATTGTTTATTATCAAGCTTTTATTCTTATTGTGAATACCCATGTATTGAAATTATAAAGTAAATCTGTATTGCCGTTGTACGTCAGCGTAAGTATTTGCGATGAATTTAATGAAATTCTGAACCAATTGCTATGTTCATACGCATATGTAGTTAGAACTGTACATTTGTTTTTGTACATTGAATGTCCATCGTCTTAAAAAATGCCTGCGATAGATGAGCCTTGTGGACTGTAGTACAAACTCTTTGGTACGGTAAATGAATATATATATTTTTGAATGCACGGAAGCACTGTGGTGTATTTTTGAATGCACAAAAGCACTGTGGTGTATTTGTGAATGCACGAAAGCACTGTGGTGTATTTGTGAATGCACGAAAGCACTGTGGTGTATTTGTGAATGCAAGAAAGCTATGTGGTGTATTCATGAAACCAAGAAAGCACTGTGGTGTATTTGTGAATGTACAGAAGCACTGTGGTGTATTTGTGAATGCACAAAAGCACTGTGGTGTATTTGTGAATGCACGAACGCACTGTGGTGTATTTGTGAATCAACAAAAGCACTGTGGTGTATTTGTGAATGCATGAAAGCACTGAGGTGTATCTGTGAATCCACGAAAGCTCTGTGGTGTATTTGTGAATGCACGAAAGCACTGTGGAGTATTTGTGTAGGCTTGTGAATCTCATGAGATGTCACTGATTTGTTCCTTGCCAGGTGCTTACATCCTTAGACAAGGCATTTTTGAAAATTCGCCTCTCTCGACCCTGGTGTACTGAATGGGAACCGGACAATACTGAGATTATAAAATACCGAAACTTCGTTTGAGAAAAACAAGTGAAACATCTCTCAGTTCAGGAATTTAATTTTTATACTTTTTTTGATAACAATTTTGTTTCTTCAATGTGCACTTATTCCTTGCATTGCACTAAAGATAAAGGTGTTTAATATGTTATTAATTATTGTAGTTTGAATGCAATTAATGACAGTTACAGGAAACTGCAGTTTTCTTTGCATTTCACAGGAATAAAAAAGATAGTGTGTGATACCATAGGCGGACTCCTATTTTTATACTTTGGATATTGAAGAATGAAGAAAACCAATGAATTGAATGAAGAGTGTGTATAATTCTCCTGTCCTTATTTTTGTATTACCGGTAAATATTATATATATATATATATAGATGTATATAGAGAAATATAGATGTATATATATGTCATTGTCTCAAAAGTATATTCTGTTTTGGGTTCTTGTTAGACGGATGTGTCATGCCCATGTATTACCAGTGCAATTATGAAGTTTATTGAAAGTGACTATGTACACATGTACTGTACACATGTATGAGTGTCAGGCTGCCTTTAAATACGATGTCAAATTTGGTGTCAAATTAAGTGTTTCTTGTAGAGTCAGAAATTGATGTAGAATCATACATTGAAAAGTTTTTTAAACTTCTTCTCTCATTTGCTTGTTGTAGTGTACTTTCATTATATAAATTTAACTTCTTTATATATGGTCTGTTAAGAGCCGGACCACATTGTTAGGATATGGAGCTGACAATGCGTATACTATCTTGATGAGGCTTGATGTTAGCCAAACCCTAGTTCAGATATGTCAAAAAAGAACTTTTAATTAACAAACATTGATGACTATTAAGTACTTTGCATTAAGGACAAGTCTTTTTGTTTGCTCCAAATTTTCTAAGGTACTTACTATTAAAGGTATTCAAACTGACAATACATTTTTTTGGTGACATACCTAAACTGAACATTCCCTTCAACTGTTTGAGTTGGGAGTCTGGATTTTAAAATAATTGTTCTGTACACAGCAAAACTTTTTATTTCAAGTGATGTGATCATGAACAAGGAGATTTATGATGAACTTGTGTACTTGCTTCATGTACTTTTTGTGATTATTTGGGTTAAATACAATGTCATCAATGTGACAATCGTGTTAAATATGGCTTTAATGGAAAGAACAGAGTGTTATATTATCATTTTGATAGGCTTACATTCACATCTCAGATAACATCTTTGTATCATTTTCACCAATTATCATACATGTATAAGTTTTTAAACCGACTGCCTCTATTTTGATAAGTTTACTGACTGGATATCTGCCTCAACTCCTCAGCCTCAGTCGGAATATACTTGTATGGTTTGTATTTGTGTACTGTGATACTTGTGTCAAAGAACTGATGCAACATATATATTCTGAAAAATATTGAATGTGTATAGGAAATTATGTTCTCTGTCATATATTGTATCATATCAATGCTTTATATTGCTTTTTGCACTTGGCCTTGTCCTTTTTTTAATACAACCTTGGAAATTTGTTGACCAAAAAAAAAAAGGTATTATGTTTTAATTTGTGTTGGAGAGAGATAGAAGTATTTGAAACATCAAGAAGAGATAAACATGTATAAATGATCATGGTTTCGTTGTTTATTTGTTTGTTTGTTGCCTGTTTTGTCTAAGACGAGCCTTATTTCTCACTCTGTATGTCTCTGTAAATTGGATTTTTGCGCCAACTTAAAATACTATTCGTGATCATGCACGCATTTCTATCTCTATTCAATGTTTATCAGATGCTGTTTGGAACTTGCAAGTCATCAAAGGCACTCTTATTGTTGTTTATACATTGAAGGTTATATATGCCAGAAGGCATTTAAGTCTACATGAATTTATTTAGTGCTCTTCTTTTTCTCGGAACGTGATTTCGGCGTCTCCTCTTCATATCTTTGATCAATATTGTGTCATTTTTATGAGGACCAGGTTCAAAGACGAGCCTTATTTCTCACTCTGTATGTCTCTGTAAATTGGATTTGGGTGCCAACTTATCTATCTCTATTCAATGTTTATCAGATGCTGTGTGGAACTCGCAAGTCATCATAGTCACTCGTACTGTTGTCTATTCATTGATGAAGGTTATAGATGCCACAAATTTTTGCATGCAAGAAAGTTTAACGAGTGGTCCAGATTTGCAAATGTCATGCCGCAAGATAATTGAAACGCGTCATTGAGTTTTATAATTTGTGAAAACAGTCAATGTTAACACTACATAAGTTCCATGTTTTATGATAAGATCTTTTGTCATATTTGCTTTAATTTTCACAAAAGTTCTGAAAATTATCAAACAACTCATATATATATATATATAAACATAATGAGACTGCACATACACGTTCATGTAGATGTTAAATTGTTGACCCTTTTTTTTTTTTTTTAATTTTTTTTTTTTTTTGCTTGTCTGTAATCATTCAACAAAAACCAATGAAATGAAAATTAACTTAGTAATAATTTCGTTGGAAGCTTGGACAAACCTCGCTCACATGAAGGACAATTTTTTATTCATTTATTTGATTTTTTTTTCTTCTTAAGAATATTGCTCCATCAAGGAGAAGATGCATTTTTTTAGTGTCCAGGGCCCCGTTTCACAAAACTTGTCATCAGTGACAAATGACAGTTTTTGTTATAAGCTAGCGAAATCCTAGGTTCTGATTTGTTATCAGCAGATTTGTCACTGATTTTTGTCATTGAAAAAGGGCTTTGTGAAATGGGTACCAGCGCTTAGATCATCAATTGTGACTACCGTATATTACTTTAAACTAATAGCATCTCATGTATTAATAAAGCACCACCACACTTCTACTAATACATCACATTGATGGAAGATATAGATCACTTCTGCAAAATTTATCCCAGCCAAAAAAAACTGCATTTGAAAATTCACATTCACACAAGAGCCTTATATTTTGTATGCACTTCCGCAACAAGAAATACACTTGTGTTTATTTTTAGAATGTTGTGACATGCATTTTTGATATTCATATGTAATGTTTCTCATAAACTGTGGCTTATTTGTGATCAAATGTTTAAGAGTATTTTGTGTAAATGTATTGATGAACGTGTAGAACCATCTTGCTTTATGATTCGGCATGATGAAGTTTAAGGTATACCCTGAACATATGACTATTAAGCGCGTAACGTTTGAATGTTCGAGATGCTAACAAGTTTTCAAAATCTTTAAAAAGATCAAAGTTAGGTGAAAGAAGATTGTTACCTTGAGGAAACACATTATTATTTGACCACAACATGTTGATTTTTATTGATATTTTGTTCAAGTTTTATTCTTGCCCCTTTTGGAATGTAAATCAATTGACTTAATCATTATTTTGAACTAATATAATGAATACATTAATGGAGTGAATTGTATTCAAAAAGTTTTAATGACTTTGCCATCTTGTTTCACTTCCATGCCGAGATATATGTGTTTGGGTTCGATTTTCCTCTGAAAGTGTATCTGCCATAGTTTACAGGAGGGATTAGACTGCCCTGCAAGGTCACTGGACAGGTGGTTATCTCATCAACTCAGCTCTCAGTTAACATAAGAAAAAGAGGATCATGGGGGACCAATGGTCACCGATTAGGCATGGTTTGTTATATAGAGGGCGCAAGTAGCTACAAGTAGTGCAGTGGGCCTTTAACACCAAACTATATTTGATATGCATTTTAAGTAAATCATTTGTCAATCAAGTTTATTTGGTATTAAACTGTGAGGAGTTCATACCACATATTGTATGTTGTTATATATTGTGAATAAAAAATTGTTTTCAAATCTGAAAACCATTGCAATGTTTACAAGTCTATCTTATTTCAATGCTTTCTCTCTCTCACACACACACATACACAGAGACGCACACTCATGTATTTCTCTCTCTCTCTCTCTCTCTCTCTCTCTCTCTCTTACTTTCACTCTTTCTCTTCGATATCTTATCAATTTGAAAACCTGACTTGGAATTATAAACTTGTTATTGTGAAAATTTTGGGTAATTTAATCATTAGTCAAATGCCTCCAAGCACACACCATAGCTTAAAAGTATCCAAAATTAATCTCCAAGATGCAATTAAAAACATACACATTTTTAAGCCTTCAAGCTACCTCACAAAGGCAGAAACATCAACAAACTTGCTACTGCTCGTTATGGCTGATGAATTTGACTTTGGGGAAAAATAAGAACAAAACAACATCAAAAGGAACAGGGTTATGAAATCATCTCTGCATTTATGAAGTGAGTCTGTTCTAGAATGCATATTTCAACTGATACAGAGGGCTAGTCCGTATTGATTTCTCTGGATCGTCTAGGAAGAGTGTTGATAAGTAACACTAAATGTCGCTGTATTTTCCAAACAAATTTCACTCATGAATTCTCTACAGAAAATGCGTGAAAGACGAGAAGTGAGGAAAGGAAGGACCCCCCTCTCTCTCTATATATAATATATTTCTCTGTCCCTGCCCATACATCCTCTCTCTCTCTCTCTCTCTTTCCTTGTCTCTCTCTTTCTCTCTCATTCTCTCTCATTCTCTCTCTCTCTATATATATACTATCGCTGCCCCCTCCCTCTCTCTCACTCTCTCTGTTTATTCACTGTCCCGTCTTATTTTTTTGTCTTTCTCTCTGTATTAACCCCTCTGCTTCTCTGCCCGCCCATCCCCTCTCTCTCTCTCTCTCTCTTTCTCTTTGCTTGCTCCCCTCCCCACCAATTTTTTTCTTTCTTCTATCTGTTGGCCTCTGCCTCCCCCCCCCCCCTGCCACTTTCTCCGTCGACGGCTGGAACCAAAGAGCTCATATCGTGTACTATCTCTTTCTTGATCAGCGCCATCACCGTCACGATGGATGGATACCTGCAAAGGTCTCTTCTCACCACCCGACATGATCCAAACTTAGTTAATGACCCCCCTCCCCAACCCAACAATTATTTTCAAAAGGCTAATGAGGGGGAGGGGGATGGTACTCAACGAAAATTGCGTCCCAGTTATCCAATAATATACAGTAAAAAGATAAGTGTAAAATGGAGACGTATACGGTTCATCGAAAGATTCATTGTGAAGAGAGAGAGATCGAGGGGGGGGGGGGGGGGGGAGGCTTAACAAATACCGAAGAAGTTAAACAAATACATGTATGCTCAATAGGCATTTGTCAAAACCTTTAAAATTAATAATTCAATATACTCCGCTAAAAATGAATCAACATCATCCGCAGGTCATGATCTTGGACGCACAATCACTATCTGAAATTGTCGAGCCTTGACTAGCTCTCGAGGCGAAAAGTATGCTAATAATTCAGCTGCCTTCAACAAGATGGCAAAAAGAAGAAAGTTGTATAGAAGATGAAGATTATGTAGGCCTATAAAATAATAACTGTAATGGGAAGGCAACTATCTCAAAACCATAAGTAATTGAACCATATAATTTCATGGATTCGAACCCTGCGCGTGATTATGATGACATTTTCATTCATTATTCATATTTGTGAACGGAGCCGGCCGGGGAACCGAGGCCTATTTTAAAATCCAATTTCTACATGCTCCAATTAATCAATCGAAAATTGATATCCCATATCCATGATCATCTCCCCTTGTATAAAATCAAGGTGCCTGCGGGAATTGACTCTGCTTTTTATACTGTATTTTCACCAGTCAAAATTATCGCAATTTCTTATAGAGCGGGTCAGACTACCAGCTGCGATCGACCTTGTTTAGCCGACAAAACGAAGCAAAATATTATTTGTGTTCAGTTCATCCGTGAAATAATGAAAATACGGCATTGGACATGTAGGTTGAAGAAGAGAGTCCCATATATTATATGCCGACACAAAATGGTTGTAAAGAATTTCTTCCTGAATATGCTTTCATCGAGAGAGGAGTGAGAAGGAGAGCCATGCAGAGAGGATATATAAACATAATAAATAGAATCATACTTTTTTTTTCAAATACGAGGGAAGGCCCATGTAAAAATGATATTGATCCTAATTATGATGCTGCATTTATCCTAGTCAGAGGTAGCCCATATATTTTCCCCGCTGTCTTTTGGTTTCCGAATGAAACTCGATGAAAAAGAGCATCCCAAGAAAGTGGGAATTTTAGCGAGAGATGGGGTAGGGCAGGGACGGATCTAGGGGGGGGGGGTTCGGCGGTTTAACCCCCCCCCCCTTGGGTGGCCAATTATGTGAGAGAAAAAAAAGAAAAGAAAAGGAAAATAAGGAGAACAGAAAAAAAAAAGTAAAACGGCGCGATTGTTGGAAAATCCTGGATCCGCCACTGGGTCAACCTCCCCCCCCCCCCCTGGCAAAAAGCTAGATCCGCCCCTGTAGGGCTCTACTGCGATTGACCCGTTGAGAACATAAAACACGAGATATGAAACTGAATGATGCATGCAAGTTCTCTCCGATTTCGGGAGGCCAGTTTTGCTAAATTTTAGTTCAGCCAAGAGTAAGGCCCATACAAATTAAAGTTGGTCGATTTCGCACTTTGAAAGTATGGTATCAAAGTGTAGGTTTGCAAGCATTACAAATTATGGGAGTTTGAGTACCTGCATGGGCCCCCATGCATATGCAACTATTTCTCTATCCATAATAAGCTTATTCCTGACGTGTTTGCTCAATTCGATTAGAGCCGTAATCCTTTGCGATGTATTTGATGGTGGGCCCGTTATTTTGATTCGAATCAGCACCTTTTCACGTAGAATTAATTCTGCCTTACTCCCCCAATATGCTTTATTGAGAGAGTGGTAATACCGTGCACGCGCCCACGATCATGACTCCCTTCTATGCCGCTAGTCCATGACGTCAATGAAATATAATGAGATGATTCGAAAATGTGATGGGTCGGGGCTCGGGTTGATTTTCGGCACACACACACTCGGTAAACTGTAAAGGGAAGCGCTCCGTGTGTGCATCATGTTCGTATTCCGGTATAATGCGTGCGTTTACTGTTGAACCAAATTCGTAGCAGCCGACATATTTCGGTAGGGATCGCGATATCTGTTATATTAGGCTGCTAGTTTGCTGTCTGCCTTTATGATGGGATGCGAGGAATAGGTAAGAAGACGTCGTTATAATATTTGATTCATCATGTTTTTATGTGGAATTGAGTGGAATAAAGGATAGCATGGGCATTGTTGGAAGAATGAGGAAGTCATGAATGCAATTGGGAAGAAAGCAGCAGAACCAGAAACGGTATTTCGCAACGGTCGGTGAGCTGTGGTTTAGGCTATAGCGTTCACAAAATGAGATGGATAGAAATTGCAGGAACTGCAGCAGGGATATGATGCGGATGCTAGCAGTTCCGGGCGATCCGGGCGTGTGGATGAGGGGAGTGTGTGTGTCCGGGCACTAACAAAACTAATCCATTGTTTTTGCTTTTGGATTCAATTAAAAATAGTCATTAAATAGAACCAATCATCATGAAGGTTTATCCTTTGTACTTTTTTCCAACGTAAGTCTCAAAAGATTGATAAAAGATTGCTTGTTCGTTGTTGCATGTTGTATTTTGAAAGCCTCTTCAAAATCAAATTACTGTTTGAAATCGCCTGTGGCTGTGCGGATATACCAACCTTTCTCATTTTCTGGACACACAGCGTTTGGGTACCAATACCTATATTACAATTTTAATGTTCTTAATTGTCCACTTTGTCAAACAGGAGTAGGTCCTAGTTTGGAATCTAATTAGACTAGACCTATAGGGGTCTAGACCTATGTTCTGATATTATTCAATAATTAGTGTGATCAGCGATATTTGTAGCAAAGAAGAAGAGATTAAAATTGTTGGGTGGGGATTACATGTGTAGGCTCTAGATCTAGTCTATACCAGAATTTGACTAACAATTAACAACTTAGAGTTAGAGTTAGAACTTATTGTGAGACCTAGAATTGTTAGTGTTTATAGACTAGACCTAGAAGTCTAGTAGTAGACTCTAGTAGTAGTAGGCATACTGTTAATGTTGTGTTTTTTGTTATTGTTAAAAAGTTGGATCTAAGTTGTGTCTTGTTACAACCTTATTTTAGACCTTGTTTCACAGTTAAAAGAACACCCAATTTTGTGGACTTGGTGTGGAGACAAAGTTTTGACCACAAAGTCATGAAATGAGTAGAAATGTAGGCCTATGTTTGTTCAGATGTAGATGTAGATTGTAGATCAATTTTCTATTGTCAAGAATAGAGCTTATGCAGACTAAATGAATGGATACACACTGAGGATTTAATGTATTGTAGGCTGAGGACCTGCACAATTAAATAATTGATTTTTTAAAGTAAGGCAGTATTATTGAATGATATAACTGCCCTTGTTTATTGATCTTTCAATTCAGTGGTGTAGGAAATACATGCTGTTTTAAATGGATGTGTAAATGTGATTTTGCTGTTGGTGGAAAAAGACACAAGCCTCAGCTAATTGAACATTTTGGAATCACAGGAAAGTGACAGGTCAAGGACAAAAAAAGATTTGTATTCAGTTGGTGGATACCTGTACATGTGTAACAATAACCAATCTGCTGATAAGTTGCTAATCTTATGAATTGTAAATGTAAGTTAAGTAACCCCTAATCAGATAGTGATGTTCAGAAATGTATACACAGGACAGGGTTAAAGGGGTTGGGGAGGGGGGTGAGGAGGAGCTGTTGATAAAAGGCAAATCCTGTACATACCCCTGGTAACATACAGGGCTAATTCCACCCCCCCCCCCCCAATCCACTAGAGCCTACAATAGAAAGTTTTCAAAATCATTTGGGGGGGGGGGGGTAAACATTTTAAATAAATGGTCATCAATTTTCATCATATTCTTTTTCTTCCCTTGCAAATTTATCTCAATTTTTTTATTACGGTATGCTATTTGTGCCAATTTTCTATAATTTGTTAAAATGGTTTGGTATTCAAATTGGGTTGAAATTTCAATTTCTAGAAAATGATGCAAAACTAATGGAGAGTAGCTGGCAAAGAAAATTATAGAGTTGACAGTTATGTTAGGACAGTATTCTAGAAAGAATTATTTTGTACATTAAATATTATCATAATACTGTTTATGTACCGGTATGTTAGCTTGTGTTGTCAGCTTGGATTTTGTCTTTGAAGGGAAAAAGAAGTAGATTTAATGTGTTCCTACATGGTTTTGTGATATTCAATAGACATAAATATGCAACTAACTCATATCGAAGGAGGGACCTTCAGTTATGACATACTGGTATATGCGGTGTAAATCTGTCACTTCCTGCATTAGTTTACATGTAGCTGTATATCCAAGCTTGCGAGATTAATTCAAATGTAAAAACAGATTACTTTTGGAATTAGATACCGTACATGTACACATGTGAGCTAGGAAATAATGTGGGTCGGACGTAATCCATAAGCCTCAAAGATGTGCTGGATATCTGATGTGGAAAGAAGAAAAAAAGAAACTGACATGCTTAGTCACAGTCAATATGTATTAACTATTTATTAATTATTTAGTAGAGTACATACATGTATGTGCAGTGTGTGGAATACTCATTCAATGTAGGAGTAATGCAGTACTGTACTTGAATTGAATTATGGTATTAAGGTAATTGATGGGTTAGACATTTTTTCATCTTACCTTTCTTTCCCATTATTGTTTGGGTCTTATAGCTGAAGATGAAAGGGCTTGGAAGTGATATCTCAGTAGTTGATTGTGTGGTGCATGATAAGCAAATCTTTTTTCTTTCTCTCTCTCTCTCTCTCTCTCTCTCTCTGGTTAAAAGATATAATTTGAAATTAAACATAAAAGAGCATGACATTCCATGCATAAAATGCAGAACTTTTGCAGTGCATCTTCAAGTTAAGTGAATTTTTGTCATCCATATAAAGAGAAAGGTTCTGCAAATATGGTAGTGTTAGGCCGTACATACGAAATACATCATAACCCGCCACTTTTTCTTTTCCTTTTACTTTTACTTTGTATCTATCCAGGTGTTTTCAAACTTATTGCATCTCTACATGGACTCCGATTATGTGAGGACTGAACAGCTTAATATGAGAGAGAGCATATAGCGAACAACACATGGTTCCTCATCATTTACTGCATGTTTCATGAAACAATTATGATCTGATTGATCTAGAGAGCGAGACAAGAGCGAGTACAATGAAGTAGAGAGATAGCCCACGATTACATCGGTGTGTGGTTTCCTTATTTTAAAGATTTACTGCTGTGGACAGGTGAGCGCCTAGCTTTACAGGCAACATGGCCCAGACAAGGAGACTGTCTGTGTGGCAGATGACCACACAGATCATCAGTTTGAAGTTACTCCTGTGCTTTCTGCTTCTTCAAGTTTTTGCAGTCTATGGGACAGAAGCAAGGACCATAGATAATAATAAGACCATATGTAAACCTGGAGTAATCTTGCCTGTTTGGCTACCGCAAGAGGACATATCCCTTGGAGATAAGATAGCCAGAGCTATTGTGTACTTTAGTGCACTTGCATTCATATTCCTTGGAGTGTCCATCATTGCTGACCGCTTCATGTCCGCAATTGAAGTCATCACTTCGAAGGAGAAAGAAATCACCATCAAGAAACCCAATGGGGAAATGGTAACTGTGAATGTGAGGATCTGGAACGAGACCGTGTCGAACCTAACTCTCATGGCTCTAGGATCCTCAGCCCCTGAGATCCTGCTCTCTATTATTGAAATTTGTGGGCGAGGCTTTGAAGCAGGAGATCTCGGCCCTGGAACAATTGTTGGTAGTGCAGCATTTAACCTGTTTGTTATCATTGCAATATGTATCTACTGTATACCTAATGGGGAGCTTCGGCGCTTGAAGCATTTAAGAGTCTTTTTTGTTACCGCTTCATTCAGTGTATTGGCTTATTTGTGGTTACTCGCCATTTTGAAGCTTTTCTCTCCTGGTGTCATTGAATTGTGGGAAGCAATAGTAACACTACTGATGTTTCCTGTGACTGTTATTTGGGCATATATCGCAGATAAGCGCATCTTTTTTTACAGATTTCTCAGGAAAAAGTACACTGCTGAAAGAGTGGTTAGGAGAGGGTCCAACTTACAAAATGCAATGGAGATGGGCGAGAATGAGATGCATGAGAATCATCTCAATCATGGAATGGATGGTGTTGAGTTCAAGGGCAAAAGATACAAGGATCTGGATGGAGATGTGAGTGACATCAAGGATCTGGAGGATTCTAGGAAGGAAACCATTCGCCTTCTGAGGGAGCTTAGACAGAAACACCCAGATGCTGATCTTGCTACCCTTGAGCAGATGGCCAACTACGAATCCCTCAACAACCAGCAGAAGAGCAGGGCCTTCTACCGTATTCAGGCTACTAGGAAGATGTGTGGCGCTGGTAATATCCTCAAGAAGACGTTGGAGAAGAAGCGAGCAAGTGTGGCAGAAGTGAATATAGAAGTACTGCAGGATGACTCCATCACCCGTGTTTGTTTTGACCCGTTCAACTACACTGTCATGGAGAATGTGGGAAATTTTACGATCACTGTCGCGCGACTCGGTGGGGACATGAACAGCACCGTATATGTGGACTATAAGTCAGAGGACGGTACGGCCAATGCAGGTTCGGACTTCCACTATGCAGAGGGGACTCTAATCTTCAAGCCAGGAGAAACGCACAAGGAGATTCCCCTCAGCATCATCGATGATGATATCTTTGAAGAGGACGAGCACTTCTTTGTGCGTCTGAACAACATCCGTGTTGGTGGCCCAGATGGAATGTTCCAGAGCAACTGCAACGATCAGCAAGCACAGATTGTAGAACCACTCCTTGCCACCATTACTATTCTAGATGATGATCACGCTGGCATATTCCACTTTGAGGACAAACTTACCAAGATTCCAGAATCTTCTGGTGAGGCACAGTTCAAGGTTGTTCGATCATCTGGTGCAAGAGGCATGGTGCGTGTTCCCTACAAGACAGTTGGGGCAACTGCCAAGGGAAATGGAATCGACTTTGTGGATGTGGATGGAGAGCTGGAATTTGAGAACGATGAAACTTGGTAAGTTCCCTTTTTATTCCTGCTACATATACATGTACATTGTAACTATAGTTTTGCTGTATAAAGGAGGCGCGATAGCTCCGTTGGTAAAGCATTGGTCTCGTAATCCGGCGACCTGGGTTCAAAACCAAGTCGATGCGCTAGTGCCCTTTGGTAATAAAGACATTACCGGTAATCCTTATTACCAGGTCTCTCGGAGAGGACCTAAAGCCGTCAGTCCTCCGGTTGCTTACTAACAAGCATTTATGTTTTCTTAGCAGTCGGGTAAAAAACAAACACTTCTACTACCACCATTGCACACTCAATTAACATTCATTTTCACTCTTTGACTTTAAAATTCTGTAAGTAAAAGCGAATTATGCGGAGATGCATTGTAATAATAAATGGAATCAAACAGAGTTTTAAAAAACTGAAGAATAGAGAGAATAAAGAGCAATATATTCGCCCGATAAAAAAAATATTTTCATCTCAAATTTATGTTTAGAACTATTCAGCTTTATGCTTAATCCTCTGCAGTATGTTTTGTTGCTCAATCCTTGATTTCAATCAATTTACATGTACCAACATTTTACTAAATTGATTACCGTTATGAAATATATCACTGCTGTACTTGCATTATAATTTATGTATTGCAGTGCTTAAAAAATTGCACTTTAGATGAGAGTATGAGCATACTTAGGAAAAAAACACGCAGATGGTCAACTGACCTTCACACTGAAGCTGTCAAGCAATATCTTGATGAATGAGCCTTTTCCTCAACCAATTTTTTTCCACCCCTATTTTAATCACATTTTTCAAACTTAAAGGTAATACAAAGTTTTGGTAAATTTTGAAAATTGGCTAGATAGTGATTCCTTACAATTGTGATATATTTGGATGCCCCTGCGGATGTATTATAGGCACTAAACAAATTAGCCCGTAAAACACTTCTGCTTTCGAGATATAATGAATATCAAAATTTACTGGTGCTCCCGGTAAATTTTTATAAACTTCAAATAGCGTCTACGGCCATAAAATGATAGCTGCGACCATGAAAATCTCAGAATATGCAGTTGTGATATATAATTTCCAAACGGGAATAGCAAATCGGTCGATTTTAGTCAAGAAACATTGTTTTATAGCTATATCAATATCTTGACCTTGAGAGGGAGCTATACAACATAAAGAGCTTATTATTTAAATTGTCACCACTTTAGACTCGGTTTCAACCGCGACAACGATCACTGAATATTGTAGGAATGCATATGCTTCCAATATGTTAAATTGAACCAAATTCATGACCCTATACCAAAACTTTGTATTACCCTTAATAACCATATCATGGGAAAAGTGCTGTAACCAGTAAAGATTTCTTCCCATTTCTCCCTGTTTGACATAGCTAGCCCTCTGTTCTACATAGTGTCTGCTGAGTAAGAGACAGAAGGCTGTTTATATAATATCACTATATATGTATGAGAGGGAGAGAGGGAGAGAGAGAGAGAGAGAGAGAGAGAGAGAGAGAGAGAGAGTGGGGGGGGGGGGGTTGAGGAAAATTATATTTAAACAGGAATATGTTTCTCCACTGTAGTACATAAATCGTACATGCAAACAACTATGTAATGTACATATGGATTGTGACCCCAAAGGAATGTCCAAGTGAAACATTACTGGGTTTCATTAGTGTGCTATAAGAAGCAGCTTTATCCCAGATGTAACATTGATAGTTCATCACACAGGTTTGAGCTTATGTTCTTAAACCAAGCAGTGAAATCACTGAAAATCTTTTTTTGTTATAACAGTTTGCAAGGAAAATGAATGTAGTATTTCAGTTAGTATCCATCCACAGTGCAGGCTTCCATGAAAGAGTGACCTTCAGCATCCGTTCATTTGAAAAGTGATATCTTTTACAATGAATTCATATCTCTGTTCAACCAAATTTTGTTTAAATTCATCCTGTCTATCACTGGCTGCTGTAATCCAGAACTTCCAATCTAATTAGGGCATCAATCACTTTGTGCCGCTTGAACACCTCGCCACCAGGTACCCCTTACCCCACTGACTGCCCTCCACCTGAGGCTCATTAAGGGTTTATACAGCTCATCATACAGTGAAGGTGTTAGTCAGATATATGGGTTTGGGGTTGCAGATATCGCTTGCCTAGTAATTGCTTGACCTTCAAATTTGTGAGTTCTGGTATTAAATGGAAAAATAGTGGTGTTACGTTGTGAAAACAAGAGATGATTGAGGTCGGAATCATTTACGTTAAAATAATAAGGGATAAAATTGACAGGAGAGAGAGAATGCCATTAGTAGTCTACTTCAAATTATTTATCAAATAAAGATTTTGAAACGTCTACTTTTAATGGAGACCTACACTGAAATTGCAGGTAAAGGTTATCCAGTTGAAGATACATCATTTGACTAATATGTGGGTTGCAGAAATAGAGATATGTTCATACACATGCAATTGAAATGGTACTGTCTCTATTTGTTATTACATAATATTAGTTATGTAGCTTTAATAGTGAATGGCAGTGGCATGACAAGATGCCACAGAAACCCCAAATACCTAATATTTAGTGATGGTTGTTTATTATAAGTTATTTTTTTACATCTATATGAATGAAAGTTTAGCTAACATTAAGCCTCATCTAGATAATATGTATTTAGTATTTACCAACTCCAAATCCCAACACTGTGGTTCAACCTCTGTGTGATAAAATTACGATTTCCAATAATTATACAATTTGCATTATAGACGCGCTTTGTCTTGCCTCTAAATTTTGCTGAGCGACCTAATAGCAGCGTCCCCCACAAGACCGTTTGAATCAAGCAAAACATGTAAGATGGGGGTATCAGGGTTACATAATCCTTGATGTTACAAGTGATCTCAGGTTAAGCTCTAGACTCTAGTTCAAGTGTAATCTAGGGCTTTTTGTATAAGAAGGAACTCCTAGAGGAAATCATCCGTAAGCTTCATTCAGAAAAGATGCAGTTAACCGTTTTAAGAACCTGCACTGGCAAAATAATAACCACTTCGTGTGTAGGGTGATCTCCTGCAATGTGTGCTGTATGGCATATGATTTTTATCCATCTATTTCATTCAATTTAGAAAGTATCTCAAAATGACCATTAAATGACCATGGAATGTGGGATTTTAAGAAGGTGATTGTGCCAAAGGCCCTTCAGCATAAATAATGCTTTCTGAAATACAGAGATGTGAGGTGCATGATGCTTATAATTTCATTTTTTGCTTCTGAAGCATTTATTTGGGGGGGGGGGGGGCAGATTGCTGCCTGCGCCTTATCTGAAAGGGGCTTTAGCCATCTTTATCAAGTCCACTAGACACCAATGACGCATATCACCTCCAGACAGATACTAACTGTGAAGTGATTTTGAAGAAAAACCAGTATGACGTCATGGGGGCAAATTGGATGGGTGTCCTGTGAATTATTTTCATGGGGTTTTTGACCACATATCTCAGTGAAAATGGCTCTCTGTGACAAAGTGAATCATGGTTACATGTACTTCAAAACATGGGAAAAGTCTTGGGAAGTCAGAACTTAGTTACAGTTACAACTGCAATTTTGGGGTGTTTTTCTCCCTTAATAGCTTCTTCAGTGAGCTATAGATTGGATTATTTCTATATTAAAGTTACAATGTACACTACAGCCTCAGGAAATCTGGAGATTCTGATGTTTGACTTTTTTGTAGATGCTCACCTGTTTTAATACAAGAAGTTTGGTCTGATTATTACTATTAGTGCATAGAACTTAAGTCCAAAATAAATGATTTATATACAATTTGTTTTGTGTTTTCATCAGGAAGGACTTTTAAGGTTGTGTGTATGTTACTCTTTTGAAAAAGTGATCCAGAATTTCTCCCACAGAATTGACATACATGTATTATTGGGATTGTATTTGATATGAATGTTTTCGGTAAGTCTAGGGCTCGAGTCATTCTACAATATAATTGTATCTCCATGAAGTTACAAAAATATGGCCACATATTGCATCAATCTCCATTGAGAATTTCAGTGATTCTTTCCAGGCTCGATGAGAAATCATCTATTTTTGTTTTGTTTTACAAAGAAAATGATGTTTGCCCTGCTGACCTTTAAAGTATGTCGCAAAGTACTTACTTTCTAGCTATGTACAGCACACTTGTTGTTTACAACTAAATATATAGAATCTCTACTGTTGCTGCTGATCAATGCTAACTTATTACTTCATTCCAGTTTCATTTCTTCTTTATTTAGCAATTTTGATTGATTTTTTTCCTCTTCTATTTTAAGCACAAAGTTTTGATTATCTACTATGGTAAATAGATTTATTCAGTACATACATGTACATGTTCCTCCCATGTTGTACTACGTTGTAGGTACATTTGTATGCATGCATCTGAGAAAGATAGATATTGTCAGAACTCTACTACTTCTGTATAATTGTACACCCCCTTGTATTTGTTCATCTTTGCCTTTGTGTTCCGCACTGCATCATACTTAGCATCTAGTGCTAATCCCAGCCCTTGTTTTCTTCCCCGCCATTACTTCCTTTAATGCTCTGGTGTGCCCCTGGATGGGGAGTTAAAATCAGCTAACAATAAATGACGGGGTTGACATTTAAGTAATTGAGGTGCTGAAAGCCTGGGAGGACTTCGGCACTGGAAGTCATCGGCGAGTGGGAGGTGATAGATATTAGTCGGGTCTCTGTACTGGTCTTGGCTGGCCTTTTTGTGAAATCCAATCTATTTTCTGTCTCAGGAAACATGACAAGGAGGATACTTATGGTAGTGAAGTGCTCTTTACCCCTCCTTTCATCATATTAATCATTTATGATTCTTTCTATTTTTTGCATTTTAACCTTTCCATAGGCTACCCATTACTTGGTTGAATATACTTTATAACTTTGCTGTCAGGTATCCTAATGTGAGAGAAGGTATTGAAAATTGAGCGTGAGATTCATTTTTATGGAGTACCTGATGTGATTTGTTTCTGAAGGATGATTGTAACACATACTCTTGTGGTGTACAATATATGTTTGTATTGTTGAATCTTTTGTGCTCTAATATTTTATAGTTGAATCAGAAAATATATATTTTGATAACAAGGAATGTTTAACAACATTCTTTGATTGAAAATAATGTGATACATGTTGTATATTAAATACAAGGAAAAGTGGGTAAATTGTTCCTGTACACCTTATACTAAATACTGACATACTGTACATGTAAATGAAAGATAGAGGAATAGATGGAGAGAGATGTTAAGATAAACAAAGGTATCAAAAGAAGAGATGTCGGGAAGGGTCGAATTTAAAATTGGCAGGAAACACATTACATTGTACTACATGTACTAACATGTATTATGTTGTTGAAGGAATGCACACAACGTAAACGATAAGATAACTGTGATAGTCCTGAAAGTACATCCCATGTAGATGAATAGCTGGAATATTCTAAATAACTTGAATGCATTTAGGATCA